GGCTGCACCTCTGATCACATACAAAAAGATTCCGTTCTACATATACACTGTAAATTTGATTAATACTACTTTGATTTTAAATGAAACACCTGCAGTCTGAAATGACATTTGGACTCCATCAAACCATATTACAGTTATCATTAGATAACAATAGCGTCCCATAAATGCTTCCGTTCACAGGCACATACTATACGAGGTATTTTTGGGCATGGAAATGGTTAAAGGGGAAACTATGTTGGGATTATCTGTTTCAAAGTTAAAACACTGGCCTGTACAGTAATATGCATTGAGTACAAACTACCACCCCCCAAAAAACCTAAACATACTGTACCTCCTATATACTTACTGGATTTGCCACCTATTACATAGCTGTACAAGTCATATTGGTTGTCTTAAAACTCACATTGGTTAAACCCTCACCCAAATCAAAAACATGATCCGCTACATCTTGTACCACTGAGATGTGATTATAACCCCTCTACACAATGGATGTCTGTCAGAACTTCACCAAATGCTTGCCAGAGAAGCACAGGCGGGCTACCTGATACCCTGCAGCTGCCGGCAGTGGTCCTGTTGTTGCAGGACTCAATTCACTGCTACACACAGGAGACTTCAGAAATATAGGGCACTTGTGTTGTCATTCCAGGATCATGTTATCAAACCTATGGCTGCAGAGTGGAGCTACCCCAGTGTTGACCTGGACTGTGTAATACACTGTAGGGTTCCAATAGCCGGTGCTATTTTGGATCCAGTTCCAAATTGGTGAAACATCTGGGTTCATGAAGCATCATAGCCAAAAGAATCCCTTATCAAACCTGTCATTAACATACAATGTTTAGTTTACACTCTTTGGCCTCTCTGACAATACAAACATCACCAAAGGGAAAAACACAAACTAGTGATAATGTTATCAACACTCTTGTAATGCATGTTGTGATATGTACAATGTGTTGGGATAAAATGCTGTCAAAACTAACACAGCAAACCCACTTAACTGCTTTGATTTAAAAAAAAAAAAAACAACTTCAAAAAGTGATAAATGCAGGTCATTACTCTCTGAAGAAGGTGAAATAAAAATAGTGTCCAGCATGTTAAAATCAGACACAGTGTTATTTCTGATAAGTTGAGAAGGATGAGTGCTCAGTCTCAGCCAACCAGTGTTGGTGTCTCCAGTCTGATTCTGTGACTTGTACAGTAGCAGTGCAACAACCAGTTCACAGCAAAATATCAGCTATTTAAGTAATGCTTTCAATGCCTTTTAGCTGTAGAGGTGGCTTGACCAAGTGAAAGAAAACTAAAGGCCCTAACCAATGGTAATATGCACAGATTTCATCAGTGCTCACCATCTCGTTTTATCTCATCACCATTTAACTGAGTCTCGAAAACCAAAAGGGTTTACCTTTTTCCTTACTCTTAGAAAGTCAGAGTTTGTGTAATATGGGCTTAGATTGGACAAACCCCTGCAGATACAGTAAGGGTGTATTCAAATCAAATCAAATTTTATTTTATTATTACACAACAAAAGTCATCTCAGGACACTTTACAAAGTAAGGTCTAGACTTTACTGTTATCAATATTATTACATAGGGAAAACCCAACAAATCCCCCTTGAGCAACCACTTGGCGACAGTGGGGAGGAAAAACTCCCTTTAACGGAAGAAACCTCCGACAGACCCCAGCTCTTGGTGGGCGGCCTTCTGCCTCGACCGGTTGGGGTGAGTGGATAGAGGAGAGACAAAAGAAGGAAAGCAACAAGACACAACAATCAAACACTGATCAGGTCGATGTGGCTGGTGACTGCTCGTCAGAGACGTAGAGCTCCAGGGCCAGGGCAACCTGCAGAAAGGTACAGGGAGAGAGAGAGGACACACTACGGGAGAGAGGAGACACAAAATTAGTAATGTGTAATGGTGGCATATAGAAGCATAGGGAGAGAGAGGAGAGGAGAGCAGAGCAGAGCAGGAGGGGAGGGGAAAGAAACTCAGAGCATCATGGGGCCCCCCAGCAGCCTAGGCCTATAGCAGCATAACTAAGGGAAGGCTCAGGGTCACCTGATCCAGCCCTAACTATAAGCTTTATCAAAAAGGAACGTCTTAAGTCTAATCTTAAAGGTAGAGAGGGTGTCCACCTCC